CCAGCCCCCACCTGTGTTTTTGAGATAGGATCTTGTATGTCGCATAGCACAAAGTTGGTGGAACTCACTATATAGACTGTACTGACCTGAAACTTGAAACTGTTCTCATGCCTGTCAACTCAGTTCTAAAATTTCCAGGCAGCTTCCTTTTAGCTATCTGAACTTTGTGTGTGTGTCTCACATAGTTACGTACAGGAATTAGTGCACCATAGCTTGCTTGCATGTTGAGGTAACAGGACAACTTGTAGGAGTTGGGTCTCTCCTCCTACCCTTGTATAGTTCCTAAGAGTTGAAGACTTAAACTCAGGCGTTTGAGGCATGGTGGCAAGTGCCTTTATCTACTAAGCTATTTTCCTGTCCCTGTATAATTGGGGATCCAAATATCCTATTTTAAACAATATCCCCTTTGTAATGGAGTTGGAAAAACTGAAATATGTACCAGCATTGTAGACGACATGTGAATATGTTCTCATGTAATCTCACTTTAGTCTCCTTTAGAGCAGAAGGGTGTTTGTAATGGATAAGAGTCCTGCATGTTAGGAAATTTATAATATTGAGATGTTGAGGGGTTTGTTTTGTTGGTTGGTTGGTTGGTTTTTATTTTTAAGATTAATTTATTTATTCTGCCTATAATGTTCTGCCTGCACTGCATGCCAGAAGAGGGCACCGAAACACATTGTAGATGGTTGTGAGCCACCATGTGGTTGTTGAGAATTGAACTCAGGACCTCTGGAAGAGCAGCCAGTGTTCTTTACTTCTGAACCATCTCTTCAGCCTCAGAAAGTTGGTTGGTTTTTCAAGACAGTGTTTCTCTGTGTTGCCCTGGAACTCACAGAGATCTGCCATTTCTGCCTTCTGAGTGCAATGCCACTATGAGATACTGAGTATTTTTGAGTCAAGGTTTCCTGTATCCCAAATTTTTTGTAGCTGAGGATGACCTTGTTCTTCCTGTATTACATCTCCCTAATGTACCACTATATCTAATTTAGGAAGTTTTTGAGATTGAACCCTGTAGCTTTGGCCTAAAAGACAAGCAAGCACTTTACCAACATGCCAGCCTTGCTATTTGGTCTTTATTATGAGAGCCATCTTCTTAAGAAAATTGGAGGCTTGATACATTCTGTGTCTGTAGAGTGAGTCAGTAATTTTGGGTCACTCACTGAAAACCTACTTTGAATCTAATGAAGCTGGGCGTGGTGGTACACATTTTAATCTCATGTAAAAGGGAGGCAGATGCTAGAGTATCTCTGAGTTCAGTGCCAGCCTGGTTCACATAGCAAATTCCAAGCCAACTAGGGATATAAGATTATCTTGCTGGGGGCTGGAGAGATGGCTCAGTGGTTAAGAGGATTGCCTGCACCTGGCGGTGGTGGCGCACGCCTTTAATCCCAGCACTCGGGAGGCAGAGGCAGGCGGATCTCTGTGAGTTCGAGGCCAGCCTGGTCTACAAGAGCTAGTTCCAGGACAGGAACCAAAAAGCTACTGAGAAACCCTGTCTCGAAAAATCAAAAAAAAAAAAAAAAAAAAAAAAAGAGCATTGCCTGCTCTTTCAAAGGTTCTGAGTTCAATTCCCAGCAACCACATGGTGGCTCACAACCATCTGTCTGGTGCCCTCTTCTGGCCTGCAGACATACATACAGATAGATTATTGTATACATAATAAATAAATAAATAAATATTAAAAAAAAAGATTATCTTGCTGGGCTGTAGTGGCCCATGCCTTTAATCCCAGCACTCAGGAGGCAGATCACTGTGAGTTTGAGGCCAGCCTAGTCTACAGAGTAAGTTCTAGGACAGGCTTTAGAGCTACACAGAGAACCCTGTCTCAAAAAAACAAAAAAGGAGAGAAAAGGGGAAAAAAATTAGAAAGAATATTTTAAATTTTATTCGTGTGTATATGTTTCTGCCAGTGTTGATTAGTCAGAAGATAGCACGGAATCCCCTGAAGCTGGAGTTACAGGCTGTTGTAAGCTTTTTTTTTTTTTTAAGATTTATTTATTATGTATACAACATTATGCCTCCATGTATGCCCGCACACCAGAAGAGGGCGCCAGATCTTATTGCAGATGGTTGTGAGCCACCATGTGGTTGCTGGGAATTGAACTCAGGACCTTTGGAAGAGCAGCCAGTGCTCTTAACCACTGAGCCATCTCTACAGCCCAAGCCTCTTGATGTGAGTACTGGGATTTGAACCTGCATCCTCTGGAAGAGCAGCAAGTGTTACTCGGCCTTCTCTCTAGCCGCAGAAGACTCTTTAATTCTTTTGCTAGACCTTGAATTATAAATGTACAAAGTATGTAAGCACCTGCCATATGTGGACTGTGTAGAGAGGAGTAGGACAGTTTTGTCTGCCAGTAGTTTCAGAGTCAGGTGAAAGGAAGTTGATGATTGCCCACTAGCCTGAGTTCTGCAGCATAGGTGGAGCATGTTAGTAGTAGTGAGACTAGTGTTTCTTGCCTATGGCTCAGGGGAATAAATCACTTTTCCAGACATTTGAGATCAACTGAGAGTCTTTTTTTGGCGGGGGGGATGGGGAGATGGGGCTGCCTAAAAGGATACTGCAGAAGCTGTGTTGACAGTCAATTTAGTGTCCATAGATCATCGTGCTTTTTGTTCTTGTTGGCTTGTTTTTAAACTTTCTTAACACCCATCATTCATCGCATGTGTGTTTGTGTGTACCAGGACACATGTATGGAGGTCAGAGGGCAGTTGTGGGAGTTGGTTCCTTTCTTCCATAATATATGTTGTAAGGGTTAAGCTTAGGTCACAGGTCTTGAATGAAAGTGTTTTTACTCTTGAGCCCTTGATGGCCCTTTTGTTTTGAAAGTCTTATCAGTTGCTTTTGCCACCTTGCAGATAGATGACCTTGAACTTCTGGTTTTCTGGACTCCCTCTTCTGAATGCTGAAGTTACAGACCTGAAACTTAATGCCCTTTTCTTTTTTGTTCTTTTGTTGTTGTTGTTGTTGTAGTGTTAGGGACTAAACCTGGGGCTTTGTGTGTGCTAGGCAGGCAAACACTCTACCAACTGAGCTGCATCTCCATACCTTTTTTTTTTTTTTTTTTCTGAGACAAAGTCGAATGATGTAGCTCAAGCTGGCCTTAAACTCATGATCCTGATTTGGCCTCCTCAGTGCTTGAATTATAGGCCCTTCCTGGCCCCAGGTTATTTTTGTCTTAGATACTTGATGAAAAAATGTGCAAAATCGATTTCTGAATTTTAGTAGTAGTGACTTAAATATTTAAGTTACTTAAGTTACTATTTCAGTTCCTTCTAATTTATTTTAGATTTATCTGTTTTATTTTATGTGGATAGGGTGTTTTGCCTCCATGTACCACATGCATTCCTGCTACCACAGAGGCCAGAAGAAGTTGTCAGATTCCTTTGAATTGGAGTTACAGGTGCTTGTGAGATGTTGTGTGGATACTGGGAATTGAACCCTGGTCCTCTGCAAGAAGGTGCTCTTAACCACTGAGCCATCTCACCAGCCCCACTTAAAGTTATTTTAATAAAATTAGTCCTGCCTCTGCCTCCCTAGTGCTGCCTGTTTCTCAAGTATTTTTCCAAGCCTTACACATACACATATTCTCTCTTTCATGTTGACTCTGAGGTAAGTGCTATTTTATTCCTGTTTAATAGAAGAAAACTGAAGTTAACTGGTTTGCCTAGAGTTAACACAGTTGATGTCAAGGTGCAATATGAAATTAAGTAATAGGGCTCTAGAGCCTTATTTTTAAATGTTTTTAGCCAAGTTGCCAAAGAATGTGAGCAGTATATAGCAAAATGAGATTGTTGGTCTTTCCTTTTTTCTTTCCTTTGCTCTTTTCTTAGTGGTGTCTTGGTATATGTAGCATGGAGTGCCTTCTGGCCTTCGGCTTGGGGTACTCTTGCTTCAGCCTGCCATGTACTGGGATTACATGTGTATAGGTGAACAAGGAGTGCACCCCTAAATCCAGCAGATTTTTGGTGTTTCTTTTATGTGTTTTTGTTTTTTGTTTTTTTTTTTTTTCTCTGTGTGACAGTCCTAGATGCCATGAAGCTCACTGTGTAGACCAGGCTGGCCTCAAACTCAAAGAATGACTGCTTCTACCTCCTGAGTGCTGGGATTAAAGGTGTGCGCCACCAGCGATTTCTGGTGTTACTAGTGGGAGATAAGCAGCATGCCCCTGTCTCTGAGGTCTTGATAGATGGCATACATAAATAATTCTACTATACGTCACAGCATTGGAGTGGCACTTACTGTGAACTTTATTTGTCTCTGATTTTATACACATGTCATGTGTGCCCATACATTATCTTGTACACATACTCCTAATGATAAGACCAATGAGAAATGTAAACATTAAAATACCCCCACAGAGCCGGGCATAGAACTTTCAAGGCAGATGCAGATACATTTCTGTGGGCTTACCAGCCTGCTTAACATAGCAATTGCAGGTTAGCCAAAGGTTCATAGTGAGCTCCTATCTTTAAAAAAGAAATCCTGCCGGGTGTTGGTGGCGCATGCCTTTAATAATCCCAGCATTCTAGAGGCAGGGACAGGTGGATCTCTGAGTCCAAGGCCAGCCTGGTCTACAGAGTGAGTTCCAGGACAGCCAAAGCTACACAGAGAAATCCTGTCTCAAAACAAAAAACCAAAACGTCCTACAGTTTATTTTTGGGGAGGGGGAAGATGGTATAATAAAACTTTGCTTTGAAATACACACACATTCCATTCTCATTATCAGAGTAATTGTCTCTGAATTTCAGGTTTTCAAGATATACAAACAATAGGGTTGGTAAGATGGCTCAACAGATAAAGCCACCTGTTGCCAAGCCTGATGACTTGAGTTTGATCCTTGAGTCCCACGTGGTGGAAAGAGAGAACCAACTCAAGTGGGTTGTCCTCTGACCTCCACACGCATGCATTGGCATGTGCATGCCCACTCCTAATAAATTAATGTAAAAAATAAACAGTATGCTAACAGTAGCAAAATACTGACTGTCCATTTTAATTTTAGGAACCCTAAGGACTCTGCAATATGAATAATTCTCTGGAGAATACCATCTCATTTGAAGAGTACATCCGAGTGAAGGCAAGGTCTGTCCCCCAACACAGGATGAAGGAATTTCTGGACTCACTGGCGTCTAAGGGACCAGAAGCTCTTCAAGAGTTCCAGCAGACTGCCACCACCACCATGGTGTACCAACAGGGTGGGAACTGCATATACACAGACAGTACTGAAGTGGCTGGGTCTTTGCTTGAACTTGCTTGTCCAGTCACAACCAGTGTTCAACCACAAACTCAGCAAGAACAGCAAATCCAGGTTCAGCAGCCACAGCAGGTTCAGGTAAGAGGAAATACTAAGTTGGAGCCTATAAATAAACTTTATATTTTTCCTCACAATTTTGGTTAGTTAAAATATACCTATACAAATGTTAGAAATGTTGGAAGTTGCTGGGTGATGGTGGCGGTGCACGACTTTAATCCCAGCACTTGGGAAGCTTAGGCAGGCAGATCTCTGTGAGTTTGAGGCCAGCCTGAGCTACAGAGCAAGTTCCAGGACAGGCTCCAAAACTACAAAGAAACCCTGTCTCACCCCCCCCCCCCCCGACAAAAAAAAAAAACGAAGAAGAAGAAAAGAAATATTGCGGAGATTGTTTTCCTAACATGGAGAATCTTTCCTATTGTTGGTGCTCTCTTTAGTCACTGTAAACTTATGAAATCTGCAGGTATTTGATGTTTGCTTCAGAGAGCTTGAACAATGCAGAAAGCAGAGGCTAGCACTGAATTGAGTGTGACAGTTTCATGTGACTGAGCCTTTTCTTCTTTCTGTGACAGCCTGAGCAGAAAGCACAGGACAACTAGTTTGGACTCATTGTGGAAAGTGCGGCATCATTTGGAACCTGCCTTAAAATTAAAATCTGGTGTACATCTCAAATCTTAATCACTGCTGGCAGTAGTACTGCCCGCCTTTAATCGCAGCGCTTGGGAGGTAGATCTCAGTGAGTTCGAGGCCAGCCTGGTCTACAGAGTTCCAGGACAGCCAGGACTTTTACAGAGAAACCCTGTCTTGGAAAGCAAAAACAAAAAATCTTGGTCACCTATAGATTTCTAGGTTGGCATTTTCTACTTATTAGCCTCAGATAATGCTGCGATAATGCTTATTCAAAATGGAAGAATGGAAGAGTGAATACATTGACTGAGGCATAGGTTTTTCTTTTTGAGGGAGCTTTAGAGGAAATAGTTTCCTCCAAGTAGTTTTTGTTGTTTTTTTTTTTTTTGTGGTTTTTTTTGCATTGTATTGTGGTTGAGTTTTATTTTACTTTAGATACATGTATGTTTAAGTGAGGGTATCAGTTTCCCTGGAACTGGAATTACAAACAGTTGTGAGTTTTAGGAACTGGTGACCTACTACCAGGTGTGTGTGCTGTGAATTTTATGCATCTCCCTTTCCCCACATCATATACTCAATGATAATAATTTTATTTAATTATTTATTTACTTACTTTGTTTGTTTGTTTATTTATTTATTTATGACATAGAGTATCTCTGTGTAACAATCCTGGCTGTCCTGAAACTCCATTTGTAGACTAGGCTGACTTTGAACTCACAAGAGATTCTCTTGCCTCTGCCTCATTCTTTTTTTGTATTTTTTGAGACAAGGTTTCTCTGTTGCTTGACGTCTGTCCTAGAACTTGCTCTGTAGACCAGACTGGCCTTGAACTCAGAGATCCACTTGTCTCTGCCTCCCAAGTGCTGGAATTAAAGGCGTGTGCCACCACCACCACAGGGCTAATAAGTTTTCTAAAAATTAAATAAGATTGTATACATACATACTTAAAAACATAATTTTAGTTCGTTTTATTTCTTAGTGACATCAGATTTAAACATTGGCTTGTGGTTGTAACAGTTATTGTATACATGCTAGTTTCTACTCTTGGTGGTGGTGATGTTTATTGAGATAAGATTTCTCTATATAAGATTTCTCTGCCTCTGTCTGCAAAGTGCAAAGACTTAAGGTGTGAACTATCACAACCAATGTACCTTACCTTTAAGGTATTCTTCCCCTCTCATAAAAGACTACCAAAGCAAATGTATTTCAGTCACTAGTTTAGTTTTTTTTGACAGGATTACATGTTCCTGTCTTAATCTCTGTGTTTAGTCAAGTATAATCTTGAACTTCTGTTCCCAAGTGCTAGGATTACAAACCCTTGTACCCAGTTCTTGGCAAATTTTAGGCAAGCACTCTACCAACTAACAAACTGAGCAATATCTCTTGCCTATGTGTTTGCTGTTACTGTTGTTTTTGAGACAGTCTTAACTTGTAGAGGTTAAGCTAGAACTCATTGTATAGTCATGACTCCTGATTCTCCTTTCTTCACTGCAAACGGCTGGGAGTGCTGGTGCGCACTACTACTGTCATGCTCTAGGGATCTGCCAGCAGTGCTCCATCCCCCAAATAAAATTGGGTTTAAAAAACCAGTATTAGTTGGGCGATGGTGGCGTGTGCCTTTAATTCCAGCACTTGGGAGGCAGAGGCAGGTGGATGGATCTCTGTGAGTTCGAGACCAGTCTGGTCTACAAGAGCTAGGTGGACAGGTTCCAAAGCTACAGAGAAAGCTTGTCTCAAAAAAACAAAACAACAACAACAACAAAAAACCCAACAGCATTATATTTATAAAATAATGTTAAATTCAGTTGTAATGTGCTTTGTTATTGTTAGTTGGGGTTAGGTCTCAAACTCACTGTCCTCCTGTATCAGTTTCTCAAATGCAGAATTACAAGTGTGCACCATGACACATAGCAGAATCTGCTTTAATTATTTTGTGTGCATGTGTGCCCATGTGTAGACCAAGCTGGCCTCTCTTAACTCACATAGGTCTGCCTGCCTCTGCCTCCTGAGTGCTGGTATATTAAAAACATGTGCCACAATGGCTTGCAGAAGGAGTTAGATTTGATCCAGGTAATTGGATGCTGCTGGGTTTTTTTGTTTTTGTTTTTTTTTTAAAAAACTCACGCTATTTATTTTGGTTTTTCGAGACAGAGTTTCTCTGTGTATCTTTGGCTGTTCTAGAACTCACTTTGTAGACCAGGCTGACCTCGAACTCACAGAGATCCATCTACCTCTGCCTCCCACTTGGGAGGATTAAAGGCATGTGCCACCATGCCCAGCTTAAATAATAAAATTTTAGTTTATAAGATTTGACACATTATTTTATGTTTATAGTTTTGCATACGTGTATGTCTGTGTACCACATGTGTGATGCTCTTGGAGTACAGAAGAGCATGTCAAATCTGGAACGGCACTTACAGAGGGTTACCATTTGGGTCCTAGGAGTTGAACCCAGATCCTGAAAGTGTAGTCAGTTCTTATAATGACTGAGCCAACACTCCAACCCTAATAAAGAAAAATTTAAACATATACTTACATATATGCTTATACCACTCTACAAATGTGCAAAAAAACCAAAGGGGCATATGTTCAAAAAAAATTAAAAGTGAAAAGTGTTCAAATGGTTTGTTCTTAGATCCCTGTTAATCATCTTATTTCCAGGGGTAGATATATCTTACTGTAAATTGTATGTATGTTGAAGAAGTTTTCCTATGGGTTTGGTGGCATTGTGACTGCCAGAAGCCTTGACTGATGTAGTCCCCCTTGCTCATTCATGTTACAGGGTCCTGGGAGCTGGATGTTGCTTGCTTTACTCACTGTTGAATCTTGTTCCTGCAGGTACAGGTGCAGGTACAGCAGTCTCCACAGCAAGTCTCAGCTCAGCAACTTTCCCCTCAGTTCACCGTTCACCAGCCTGCTGAGCAGCCTATCCAGGTCCAGGTGCAGATCCAGGGCCAACCACCGCAGTCAGCAGCCCCCTCCATCCAGACCCCGTCTCTGCAGAGCCCCAGCCCCTCGCAGCTGCAAGCAGCCCAGATCCAGGTGCAGCACGTGCAGGCAGCCCAGCAGATACAGGCTGCAGAAATCCCAGAGGAACATATCCCACATCAACAAATCCAGGCTCAGCTGGTGGCTGGCCAGTCTCTTGCTGGGGGTCAGCAGATTCAAATCCAGACCGTGGGTGCCCTTTCCCCGCCACCGTCCCAGCAGGGCTCACCCAGGGAAGGAGAACGGCGGGTTGGCACAGCCAGTGTCCTTCAGCCAGTGAAGAAACGCAAAGTGGACATGCCCATCACCGTGTCCTACGCCATCTCAGGGCAGCCAGTGGCCACCGTGCTGGCCATCCCACAGGGCCAGCAGCAGAGTTACGTGTCTTTGAGGCCAGACTTACTGACAGTAGACAGTGCCCACTTGTACAGTGCCACTGGGACCATAACTAGCCCTACAGGAGAAACTTGGACCATCCCTGTTTATTCTGCCCAGCCCCGGGGGGACCCTCAGCAGCAGAGCATTACTCACATTGCCATTCCCCAGGAAGCCTACAACGCAGTCCACGTCAGTGGCTCGCCCACAGCCCTGGCAGCTGTAAAGCTGGAGGATGACAAGGAGAAGATGGTGGGCGCCACATCTGTAGTGAAAAACTCCCATGAAGAGGTAGTGCAGACCCTTGCAAACTCTCTCTTTCCAGCACAGTTCATGAATGGCAACATCCATATTCCAGTGGCTGTGCAGGCCGTTGCAGGCACGTACCAGAATACGGCTCAGACTGTACATATATGGGACCCACAGCAGCAGCCACAGCAGCAAACTGCACAAGAACAGACACCACCACCACCCCAACAGCAGCAACAGCTCCAGGTTACTTGTTCAGTAAGTGAGACTAAATCTGTAGGGAATTTTCCTTCCTTGGATTCTGGTGTAACATAGAATCACTATAGTGTGTGGATTATTTAGTCCATTATGTTTGTCTTAATAGTGATAGTATAGTTGGGCGATGGTAGCGCTTGCCTTTAATTCCAGCACTCGGAAGGCTGTGGCAGGTGGATTTCTTGTCAGTTTGAGGCCAGCCTGATCTACAGAGTGAGTTCCAGTAGAGAGAGCCAGGACTGTTTCACAGAGAAACACTGTCCTGAAAAACAAATTTTAAAAAGTAGTGGTATTATATAGGTCAAGGAAGAAAAGCAGTGGGTGAGGCTATATAAACAGACAAGTTTATCATTTTTGGAATTAATGACCAGTAATTCTTTAGATTTTAGAGTATTTGGAAGCCGGGCGGTGGTAGCACACGCCTTTAATCCCAGCACTCGGGAGGCAAAGGCAGGCAGATCTCTGTGAGTTCAAGACCAGCCTGGTCTACAGAGCTAGTTCCAGGACAGGCTCCAAAACCACAGAGAAACCCTGTCTCGAAAATCCAAAAAAAAAAAAAAAAGAGAGAAAGAAAGAAAAAATAGAGTATTTGGAGTGGGATGCCTATAATATTTCTTTGTAATATTTTTATGGTGAGAAAAGGTAATACTATGATGAATGGAAGACCCCAAAGTGTTATATATGTCTCTGGGCTACTTACATTAACAGTTGTTGTTGAGCCATTAACACGCATGTAGTAAATTCATGGTGGAGAGCTTGTGAGATAGATTTTCCCTTTATTTATCCTTTAATATGATATAAACAAGTTAAAAGACCTGAAATACCTCTTAGTAGATCTATTGAAAGGTTCTGGATGTGGGTGTACACACCTGTAATGCTGGCACTTGGGAGGCAGAGGCAAGTAGATCTCTGAGTTCAAGGGCAGCTTGCAAGTTGTAGGCCATCTAGGACTATGTAATGATACCTTGTCGCAGAAAACAAAGTAGGAAAAAAGTGGCAAAAATAAGAAAATTAGCAACTAGCCTGTTGTGCATGCCTATTTAATACCAGAGCTCCAGAAACTGAAGTAGGAGGATCACAAGTTCAGGCCTAGCATAGCAAGACCATCTAAAACAAAACAAGACAGTTTCTTCAGTGTTTATACCACTTAATAGCGCATGGGGAAAACAATTGTGCTTTAATTTGAACTTTAAGAAGAGCTGGTGAGAAAGTAGGAACTCCACAGTTAAAATGGTTTGGGGAGAGCCATGCCTTTTCTGAAAGCCTTCATTTCCTGTTTTTGTAGTGAAACCTTCCTCCTTTGGTCTCATTTTCATCTCCATCTGTTTCTATATCTCTCTTTTATTCTCAGCAGATTCCAGACATCATCTGTAGAAACTAACTCTACTTTTATCCTGGTTTCCTTTGGGGTAGGAATATTGTTTTCATAGGCTGGTTTTGATCTGGTTTTATGATCTTGGCCTATCTTTAGCTCCCTGTAAAAGGTATTTGCTATCCACCTCAGGATCTGCCGTAACATCCTCTTTTTTTTTTTTAATTTTTTTTTTATGATTTATTTAACTTTATTTTATGTGCATTGGTGTGAAGGTGTCAGACCCCCTGCAACTGGATCTTCAGACAGTTGTGAGCTGCCATGTGGGTGCTGGGAATTGAACCCGGGTCCTCTGGAAGAGGAGTCAGTGCTCTTAACCACTGAGCCATTTCTCCAGCCCTGCCGTAACATCCTCTTAACTAAGGATAACATTCTTGGACTGTGTAGCTTAGCTTGACTGCCTAGCCTCCCTGCCCTCAGGCTCAGAATTTGAGAAGGACTGCATCTAATCTCATATATTCCCACTATTCTCTTATCTACCTAGCCTCCCCCCCCCCCACACCTCCTATCCTCCTCCACCTATGCATTTTGTTTTTTTTTCTTTTTTTTTAAATATTTATTTATTATATATACAATATTCTGTCTGTGTGTATGCCTGCAGGCCAGAAGAGGGCACCAGACCCCATTACAAATGGTTGCGAATTGAACTCGGGACCTTTGGAAGAGCAGGCAATGCTCTTAACCTCTGAGCCATCTCTTCAGCCCTCACCTATGCATTTTGTAAACACATTGATTTTTGACTTTCTTTTTTGGTGACTGTCAGTTTCTGTAAACTTAAGTGGGTGTGGAAGAGTCAAGTTGTAATCCTGGTGTCATGGCGGCTGAGTTAGAGTCTACCCTTTATAAAGAGACCTTGTCTCAAAAACATACATAGTAAGTAAGAAAGTAAATAAATTTTTTTTTTTTGTGGTCAAAAGTTATTTAGGATAACTTGATCCTGGTTTCTGAGCTGTTGTCACTTAGATATTTTTCTTTTTTTTCAGTATTAGAGATTGAGCCCAGGATCTCACCGATGTTAGGGAAGAAATCTACACTGAACTATACTTACAGTCTTTTTGTTTAGTTTCATGTAATTCAGACTTGACCTTAACACTTGAACAGCAGATTCTTCTGCTTCAGTTGAATGTGTGGGCCACCACACTTGGTTTTATGTATGATGAGGCTTAATCTAGGGCTTCATGCATGCCAGGCAGTCATCTATAGTCTTATTCCTCTCAACCCTCCTTTTATTTATTTATTTATTTATTTATTTATTTATTTATTTATTTTTGAGACAGTGTTTCCTCTATAACTTTGGAACCTGTCCTGGTACTAGCTCTTGTAGGCCAGGCTGGTCTCGAACTCACAGAGATCCTCCTGCTGCTGCCTCCCAAGTGCAGGGATTAAAGGCGTGTACTACTACCGCCCGGCTAGGAAAGCCTCCTTTAGCTAGTTAGTTTATCAAAACTTGTCAGGGCATTTTTTTTTTTAATGGCTGAAGGTACACAGAGTTGTAGATGATCTCCTGGCAGCTAACATCCCGAGTGTTGGGAGTAAATGCATGTGCCACCTACACAGACTGTTCAAGAAAAAGAAAACCACCAAATGGAAGTTGCTTCTTGTGATCAGACCCACTGCTGCTAAGACAGCTTCTCCTAAGGTTCGCATTCCCCTTTTCTATCCCAGAACTTACCAAGAGGGAATTCCAACCTCCAAGAACAGCGTTAATGGGTAGGGTACAGGGACAAGGCAGAGTCCTTCTTAGCACTGTCCTTCCAATTCCATTTCCATTCAGAAATGTGCTGTTCTTCCCCACCTGTAGCTTGCCACGGCACTCCCTAACTTGCCATTGTTGCTGCGGCAGAATGCTGGCAAATTTTGTTTTGTTTTGCTTTATTTTAGACAGCCCAGCCTGACCTACAACTACAGGCATGCAAACCACTCCAGAATTTTTTTTTTTTAATTCAATCAAAAGTCCTATCTTTAAGTAGGCACAGAGACAGCGAAGCCATCGCATGCTCCCGTGGCTAGCACCCGGAGATTCTGAAGCTAGGGACACAGAGTGGGTCAACTGCGGACAGGAGGGGCAGGCTCCACAAGCCCATCTTGATCTGGTTTTAACTGGTTCTCTTGCCTTAGCCTCTCAAGTAGTTGAGACCAGATGTGTATACCACTACATTCGGCTTCAGTTGTGGGTTTTTATTGTTATTTTTGAATCATGTCTGAATTTTTATATACTTTTTTTTTTTTCTTTTTGAAGCACAGTTTCTCTATGTAGCCCTGGCTGTCCTGGAACTTGCTCTTAAACCAGGCTGGCCTCAAATTTAGAGATCTGCTTGCCTCCACTTAGTGCTGGGATTAAAGGTGGGCACCACCATGTCTGACTTCTTGTCAGGCGTCTTAAGGGTGCCAGGCACACACATATTGTGTGAGCAGACATGAATGCAGACAAAGCACCCATGTACATAAAGTAAAATTTAAATTAAACAGAAAAGGAGTTGGGGAGATTGTCCTGCATCCCCGTAAAATGCCAGGCATAGCAAAAATGTCTGTAACTTCAACACTGGGGTCAGAGACAGTGAATTCTAGGAACTAGCCCAACTGATGAACTTGAGGTTCAGTGAGAGAACCTAGCTCAAGGGAGTAAAACTGAATAGTGATGATAGAGCAGAACTCTGTCTTTCCCTGTCCTCCTTAGGTCTGCACATAGGTGTATGTACCCACGTGAGCGCAAAAAAACATCTTTTGAACAGGGCGTGGTGGTGCACGTATTTAGTCCCAGCACTCAGGAGGCAGAGGCAGACAGATCTCTGTGATTTCAAGACTAGCCTGGTCTACAGAGTGAGTTCCTTTACCTGTGTCAGTAAAACATCAAATGTTACTTCTAGTTTTAATAAATGAGTGTTTTGTATGTAATCAACTTGGATGAATGTAGTCTAACTTCTGACCTAACCAATCTCCCCCCTCATTTTAAGTTTTCCCATGTTATTAAATAGCTCTTAACTTTTTTTATTTGTTTGGGTGGGTGCTAGTAGTGCTGGAGAGTGATTCCAGGGTTTGTGAACGTGAGACAAATACTCTGATGACGTTTGTGCAGGTTCCTTGTGGAGTCCTACCCAAACATAGAACAGTTTTGAGTCTCAACATGACGCCACGAACACATTGCTTTATCTTCCTGCTAAAAGTATTTTATTAGCTGGATGGTGGTAGCGCATGCCTCTAATCCCAGCACCTGGGTGCAGAGGCAGATGGATCTCTGAGTTTGAGGCCAGCCTGGTCTATCTAATAAGTTTCAGGACACACAGGGTTGTACAGAGAAACCCTGTCTCAGAGAAAAATGAAAATGGATTATGTACTTAGGGACGAGAGTATTAATTGAGAAAAATCCCGAAAAGTAGAACTTCAAGCTGGCATGGTGTCTGATGCCTGTAGTTCTAGCATATTTAGGATGCTGAAGCAGGAAGATCAAGAGTTTGAAGCCACCCTGAAACCCTGTCTGAAAAATACAAGAGTTTTATAAATTGGAAAAACCATGAAGAGTCTCAAGTCTTATCTCTGATTTTACAGTGGCAACATAGTCTTCACTATTTGTTTTTACTTTTTTTTGTCTATTGATTGTTCTATACTAAAATTATCAGGGGAACATTGGTTCTTCTCACCCCCTTAAATGCTGGATTATATGCATGGATCATGCCCACCTCACGGGGGATGGGTTACACTTCAAGGATCACAGGCAGGAGTATACTGCTACACACCTGTCTCCTAGGTCTCCGTAAGTGGTAAACCAAGCACTCAGCCATGCTGTTCTAGCCTCCCTAGTGCTGATTCCAGCCCTTTGTCATAGAAGACCATTCAAATTAGAGTCTGGGAATAGGTCCCAGACATGGGCGTTTTCCTACCAGTTTAGGTGATTTTTTTTTTTAAGACTTTAATACATGTATTTATTTATTATTTCTTGGGGAGGGGCACTCGTGGAGTTTCCAGGACAACCCACAGGCATCTGTTCTCTTTCCTTCCTGCAGTCCCCAGAATGAAATGGTACCTGGAGGGACAGCCGTGGGTGCTGGGAACCGAACTCTTATATTTTTGGTTGTGAGCCTAGCCTTTAACGGCTGAGCCATCCCTCCAGGTCAGTTTAGGTGATTTTTAAGGTAGAAGAAAGGTTGTTTTTTTGTTTTGTTTTGGTTGATAACAGGGTTTTACCCAACCTACTTGGACTTAAAGGTATTACATAGCTAAGTGTGGCCTTGACCTCTCTTTACCCCCGCCCCCCTCACACCCATCTTCCAAATTCTAGAATTACTGATTTATACTACCAGGTTTGTGACTAAATTTTAAGAATCTCTACTGTGCACATTTGGAATTGTATATGTAACCTACAGTTTAGCAACCTTGTTTCTACTTGGGAATTTCTTAGATATGTGATCTTCTCAGGTCCCAACCCAGATGTTTTCAGTCACTTTTAAACATTTTAATAAAATGCTTAAGTATTTTATTTGCACAGTGAAAATTTTTTAAAAGATTTATGTATTTATTATATATACAGTGTTCTGTTTGCATATATTCCTGCGGGCCAGAAGAAGGCACCAGATCTCATCACAGATGGTTGTGAGCCACCATGTGGTTCCTGGGAATTTAACTCATGACCTACCTGGGAAGTGCAGCCAGTGCTCTTAACCTCTGAGCCATCTGTTTAGCTCTGCACAGTGAATTTTTGAAGTAGTGTTTGAAAATAAGCCTCTTACTTAGGGAGTTTTTAAAAGATTGATAGCTGGGCAGTGGTTGTGCATGCCTTAATCCCAGTACTCCAATAGCAGAGGCAGGAGGATCTCTGTGTTCAAGGCCAGCCTGGTCTACAGAGTTTTCCAAGACAGGCTCCAAAACTATAGAGAAACCCTGTCTCAAAAAACAAAAAGACTGAAACTTGGACTCTACCCTTTGGAGAGATTCTAGGGAGGTTTGGGGTATTGGCATTGTAGGTTTTGTTTTCTTTTGTGTGCATGTTTCTTTTTCTTTTATGTGTATGTTTCTTTTTCTTTCGGGGTGAGGGGTCTCTCTAGGTTTCTCATTGGCTGTCTTAGAACTCGCTCTGTAGACCTGGCTAGTCTTGAAATTAGAAATCTGCCTGCCTCTGCCTTGAGTGTTGGGGTTAAAGGTGTGTGCCACCACTACCTAGTTTTCTTGTTTGGTTTGGTTTGGTTTTTGGAGACCCAAATCCTACTTTCATAGCCCTGGCTAGCCTTACATTTTCTATAAAGCCTGGGCTGGTCTCGAACTTGAGGTGACACTGCAACTCTTGTCTCAGCCTCCAAAGTACTGTCAGTACAATCATGTGTTTCCATGCTTGGTCTATAGTAGTGGTTTTAAATGAGAATCAAGAGCTAGTAAAATGACTTAGTGGGTAACAGCACTTTCTCCAAGCTTGTCTTCCTGAATTCAGTCCCTCAGAACCATATGGTAGGAGGAGAACTGACTTCCATAAGTTCTTTCTGCCCTCCGCAGGCACACCAATGGCACACATACACACATAAAAATATTAAATGAGAACTGGTGTAGTCAGAACTACAGGACCTAATGGAAAACAATATTGACATATTCTCATGGTTTCTATCTCCTAGGCACAAACTGTTCAGGTTGCTGAAGTTGAGCCACAGTCACAACCACAGCCTTCACCAGAACTTTTGCTTCCAAATTCTTTGAAGCCAGAAGAAGGACTCGAAGTATGGAAAAACTGGGCTCAAACCAAGAATGCTGAACTAGAGAAGGATGCTCAAAACAGACTGGCCCCCATTGGGAGTGAGTGTTTCAGAGGGAGGGGCGGCTTGGATGTGTCTAAAACTTAAGTAGAAGAAAAACAGAATGGCAGGCAAGTAGCATCTTTGACTCTGAGGACTAGAGAATTTCTTTGGAAGTATACTTTTTTCTGATGAACAGGATGTACTTCTCACCCTGTAAAATGAACAGGATTTATGGGATTTGCCCAAGTCCAGATTTTTAAATCTTTGGATTTCTAGTGTCAACGAGAGACCAAGTCAGAATGGCTTTTGGGAAGAACTGGGAAGTACCAGTGAGTTGTGTTTAAACCCTGTCTTGGTTTGGCCTCATTTATTTGCTCATATTACAGAGTGTGGTTTTTGCATTTCTCTGCTTTTCATTTCTTAGCCCTTAGAGAAAGGAAACCTATTGATGTGATAGAATAATAGCATATGTTACTGCGTTAATAGAGCGGTTCTGAGCATAGATTCAATGGCCATTCCTAGCCCAAACCTTGATGGGCAGTATCTTCTCTGAGCTCGCCTTTGAACAATGTGATCAGCCAGTTAAGACGTCACTGTTGCCAGGACTCCCACTCACCCTTAGGAACTTGTGTCACAGGGCGCCAGTTGCTACGATTCCAAGAAGATCTGATCTCCTCTGCTGTGGCCGAATTGAATTATGGCCTCTGTTTAATGACACGCGAAGCTCGTAATGGAGAAGGTGAACCCTACGACCCAGACGTACTCTACTACATTTTCTTGTGTATACAAAAGGTAGGAAGCAGATCTGCACAGGAACTTGTTTGAACTTGTTCTCATTGGATGCTTTCACAGTACTCTAATTTAGGAAAGTGACAAGTACTTGGGGAGACACAGCAGGCTGACTGTTAGGAGTTCTTGCTGGCCAAGGCTGCATAGATCTTGCCTTTTGTTTGTTTTTGTTTTTAAATAATGGCCTGTATGTTTACTTTAGAAAAGAATATATGCAAATAAATATGTATCATTCTACCACTTTGGAAATCATGTGTTCAAGTATTTAATGAGGATCAGTGAAGTAGCTCAGCCCATGAAAGTACTTACTGATTAAGGCTGATGACCCAAATTTCATCCCCAGAACTGATGGTGGAATGTATTTAAAAACTTTTTTTTTCTTAAAAGCATCTGTTTAATTCATTTTCTTAAAGTAAGCATGTAGTTTTCATAAAGTTACTCAATCTGGTGCTTGAGTATAACTTTTATTATACCTTACATTAATACAAAACAGTGGTTTGAGGGAGTATGGCTAAAATTGTATACCAATCTTTTTGGCTTTTCAGGATAACAGAGAGGCTGGTAGAATGGCAGTTTAGGGGAGCAGAGGTAGATTTCTTCATACTCAAGACTCTAAAGGATTCCACAGTGTGATGCTACAAGACTTGTTTGTCTCTTGGAGCTTACTCTATTGCCTGGCTCTGAAAACAGTCAGCCTCCAGGTTTATTCCTTTCCTTCTGGTCCTAACCCAGAACTACCCAAGTTATCTCACGTGCTTTCTCTATTCATAGAAGACGGTGGTAGTGTAATAATCTCAGTTTACGAGAAAGGAAATGAAAAGACTTACACTTGTTAGGGCCTAAGAGTACTTACTACTCTTAAAGAGGACATGTATTCAGTTCCCAGTACCTACATGGTGATTCACTGTCATACCTAACTCCAGTTTCAGGAGATCCAGTGCTTTGTTCTAACCTCCAAGGGCAGTAGGCATACATGTGGTACCAATCTTGTGTAGATGAAGCACTCCTAGTCATAATGTTGACAAGATTAAAGTTGGATGTGGCAGTATCTACCTTTAATTCCACAGTTGTGTGGAACAGAAGCTGATAGAGGTTGAGACCCTATCTCAAAAAGTTAAGCCAAATTAAAAAAAAAAAAAAGATTTGTACATGTTACCACAATGCAGTAACCTTAACAGACAGGGTGACACCCACCCCGGCCCTTTTTTGGGGGGGGGGGGTAAGGGAGACGGTTTCTCGATATAGCCCTGACTGTCCTGGAACTCACTTTGTAGACCAGGCTGACCTCAAACTCACAGAGATCCCACCTGCCTCTGCCTCCTGAGTGCTGGGATTAAAGGTGTATGCTACTACACCCAGCTTCTAGTCTTGATTTTTTATTTTATTTTATTTTATTTTATTTTTTTGTGCATTGGTGTTTTGTCTCCTTGTATGTCTATGTGAGGATGTTAGCTCTTGGTGTTACAGATAGGTGTTAGCTTCCATGAGAGTGGTGGCAATTCAATCCAGGTTCCCTGTCTGTCCTCTTTAACAGCTGAGCCATCTCTCCAGTCCCCAGTTCTATTCTTGATTTTTAAGAGATATTTTATTTGATATGTGTGAGTATTTCTGTGTGTGTATGGGCACTATGTGTAAGCAGTAGGGGCTAGCTATGTGGATGCTGGAAACTTAACCTTGGGTCCTTTGAAAAGGCAGTAAGTGCTCTTAACTACTGATCCATGTCTCCATCATGTCGTTCCCCCCATGATTTTTACTATAGTACCTTGCCTGTATGTATAGTATTCACAAAAGATCCTTTAATTCATCTGTCAGTAATGTAAATTTCTGTTAATGAGATTTGAGGTAGGTATGCTGTGGGAATGACACCAGTTGAACAATTCTAATTTAATCTCGTTTTGGTTTTTGGAGACAGGGTTTGTCTGTGTAAGAGCCCTAGCTGTCCTGGAACTAGCTCTTGTAGACCAGGCTGGCCTAGAACCCACAGAGATCTGCCTGCCTCTGCTTCCCAAGTGCTGGGATTAAAAGAATACACCAACCATCACCACCTGACTGTTTGTTTGTTTGTTTGTTGGAGAGAATAAGGAAGTGGTGGTAGTGAAAAATGTTTTCCAAAGGTTTTACTCAAGATTACCAGTAACATTTGTCAATTACTTTTCTTTTAGTATCTTTTTGAAAATGGAAGAGTAGATGACATATTTTCTGATCTTTACTATGTTCGTTTCACGGAGTGGTTACATGAAGTTCTGAAGGATGTGCAGCCCCGTGTCACTCCTCTTGGTAAGAATTTCCCTTGTCTTTGAATTTCCCTCTTTCCGTTTGAATTTCTTTACTGTCTTTTTTTTTTTTTTTTTAAATGTACCTTGGTGTTTTGCCTTCATGTGAATCTATCTGTGTGAGGCTGTTGTGAGCAGAGAGTTGTGAACTGTCATGTGAGTTCTGGGAATTGAACCTGGGTCCTCTGGAAGAACAGCCTATACTCTAACCACTGAGCCCTCTCTCCAGCCTTGGGCGTTAAGAAGATAGGTAGCTAAGTTGGTGTGGTAAACACCAGCACTCAGGAACAGAGCCACGTAGATCTCTCTACGAGTTCCAGACCAGCCAAGGCTACATAGAAAGAACTTGGTCTTTTTTTTTTTTTTTTTTGGTTTTTCGAGACAGGGTTTCTCTGTGGCTTTGGAGCCTGTCCTGGAACTAGCTCTGTAGACCAGGCTGGTCTCGAACTCACAGAGATCCGCCTGCCTCTGCCTCCCCAGTGCTGGGATTAAAGATGTGCGCCACCATCGCCCGGCTAAGAACTTGGTCTTAAAAACAGAAAAACAACCACAAAAAATCCTGTAATTGGAGGTTTCTTGTTGCATCTTGTCCCACAGCCACTTTTAATGTAACCACTCAGAGGCTTAATTACATACTCTTTGGCCTATTAGCTCAAGTTTATTATTTTTTTTTAATATTTATTTATTTATTTATTATGTATACAATATTCTGTCTGTGTGTATGTCTGCAGGCCAGAAGAGGGCACCAGACGTCATTACAGATGGTTGTGAGCCACCATGTGGTTGCCGGGAATTGAACTCAGGACCTTTGGAAGAGCAGGCAATACTCTTAACCTCTGAGCCATCTCTCCAGCCCCTCAAGTTTATTATTAACTAACTCATTTTTATTAGTTTATATTTTACCATGAGGCTCATATCTTGGTTCTCTGGCGGCTGATTGCATGTCCCCCGACTCCACCTTCTTTCTTTCTGTATTCAGTTTGGCTTTCCCGCCTAGTTATAGTCTGCCCTGCTCTAGACCAAAATAACTTTATTCTTCAGCCAATAGGAGCAACACATATTCTCAGTGTACAGAAGGGCATCCCACATCAAAACCCAACAAAAACAAAACCATGGGCAGTGTTCTTGGCTGACTGCAGCATAACTGGGGGAAGGGACTGTCTATGATCCACAGACAACAGCTTGAGGCCCCAGTGTGTCACACGTGTGATTACTAACAACTTTTCTTCTTGTCCACATTTATTAATCAAACTAAGAATCCTAACTGGGTGTTGGTGGCACACACTTTTAATCCCAGCTCTCGGGGAGGCTGAGGCAGGCGGATCTTTCTGAGTTCAAGGCAGGCCTGGTCTACAGAATTTCAGGACAGCCTTGGTGGTTACACAGAGAGACCCTGTCTTGAGGAGAAATAGACAGCAAAAGTCATAGCCCACAGTAATAGAATGTGCTCGTTGTCTCAACTAATAGGAAGTCTAAAACAGGAAGATTGCTTGAGTCAAAAAGCTTAAGGCCAGTGTGGGCAAAATTGTGACACCATGTCTGAGAAAAAAATCAAGTGAATAAAACAAACTCTAGGAATCATCATTACCTACTATGAAAGTGTATTTTTCAGGGGCTGGATAGATGGCTCAGTGGTTAAGAGTACTTGTTCTTGCAAAGGACTCAAAAGTTCTATTCCTGGTACCCATGTGTTAGCTCACAGACCATCTGTAACTCAAAGTCCCTCTTCTGGCCTTGACACTGACATACAGACGGTTTTTAACTGTGTGGGTGTTGGACGTGGATTCCAGGTGTTCTTTTCTAAACCACCAAACCATCTCTTCCACCCCTTAAGGATTTTTATTTATTATTATTGTTTTTTTTTTTTCAGATAGGCATAGTAGCCTATGCCTTTAATCCTAGCAACTGGGAGGCAGAGGCAGGCAGATTTCTGTGTTCCAATAGCAAACTATCTTCCTTGCCTGGAACATCAGATCCTGTTCAGTCCTTTTCTTCCTTCAAGGCTCTAAATAGTTTAATTAAAAAAAAAAAAAGCAAACCAAACTAAATGGTGGCAGCACACATCTTTAAATCTGTTTTATTTATTTGTTTATTTAGGTTTTTCAAGACTGGGTTTCTGTGTAGCTTTGGAGTCTGTCCTGGGACTCATTCTGTGTAGTCCAGTGTAGTAATAGGAGCAGCGGGGCTGCATCTCCGAAATAACACACAAACTGTATTCATTTAAACACTGCTTGGCCCATTTCTATCTAGCCTCTTCTAGGCTAATTCTCATATCCCTATCAACCCATCTCTAATAATCTGTGAGCACCAGTTTTACCGGGAAGATTCTAGCCTACGTCCATCCTGGGTCGGAGCTTCATCGCCAGGAGCAGGGCATGGCGTCTCTTCTGAGGCGTCTGCTCCCGAGAGTCTGAGTTCACTTCCTCTTCCTCCCAGCATTCTGTTCTGTTTTCTCCACCCACCTGTTTCTAACCTATGAGGGCCAGCCAAGCAGTTTCTTTATTTTTTTAACCAATGACCTTCCTCCATCAGTCCAGGCTAGCCTCGAACTCAGAGATCCACCTGTCTCTGCCTCCTGAGTGCTGGGATTAAAGGCATGCGCCATTCACTGCCCTACTTTTAATGTGTTTAAATCTTTAATCCTAGCTCTCCAGAGATAAAGGTATGTAAATTTCTGTGACCACACAGAGAAACAGTTTTGAATAACAAAAGCAAAATTTTTTTTTAAAGGTTTATTGATTTATTATGTATACAACATTCCATCCATGTATGCTTGCATGCCAGAAGAGGGCACCAGATCTCATTACAGATGGTTGTGAGCCACCATGTGGTTGCTGGGAATTGAACTCAGGACTTCTAGAAAAGCAGTCAGTTCTCTTAAATACTGAGCCATATCTCCAGCCCACAAAAACAAAATTTTAACTGGCATAATGATTCATTATCTTCCCAATGTTTCGAAGCTGAGATAGGATAATCTTAAATTCAAAGCCAGTTTAAGCTATGTATCAAGACCCTGATTCAAAAGAAAAAAGAATTATAAATCATTGTGTCTGTAGAATATTATTATTGATTTATCCATTGCTAGCATCCTGGATAATATTTATGTTTAAAGAATACAAGTTTTCAGTGGAATATCTAAGTTAACTTTTGTTTTACAAAACTTGTATCAGTACAGAATGTTTATGTGTAAATGCCACATGTGTGCAGGTAACAGCAGAGGCTGGAAGAGGGCATTACTTCTGCCTAGAGCTGGGTTGTTAAAGGTGTTGTGGGCTGCCTGACTTGTTGCTATCTTCTAAAAGGTACTGGTTGCATTCTAGCCACTGAGTTCTCTCTGTGTTTTAAAAATTTGTTTCCTGTTTATTCATCATCTTTTCCCTAAAGCCTTTGACAACCATTGATAGTTTTCTAATGCCTTGTAATTTTTCCTTTTAAGGAATGTCAGATATTTGGAATAGCTATTTCCATTGCTCCTTCTTTGATTGATTAAATGATTGATTGATTGCCATTGTCTCACTGTATAGTGAGTCCTGGCTAGTCTGGAACTTAGAGGTCTACCCACTTTTGCCTCCAAAGTGTGCCACCATGTCCCAATTGGAATGATTAATTATTTATCTTTTTTGTGATTGATTTTTTAACTAGCAGTGTGCACTTGTATCCTGTGTTTTTTGTTTGTTTGTATGTTTGAGGCAGGGCCTAACATTTCCCAGACTGGCCTCAAACTGTGTAGTTAGGGTGACTGAGTTTATGAACCTCCTGGCTCCATCACCCAAGCTCTAAGAGTTTCAGGTGTGTGCTATCATCCCTAGTGTAGATGGTGCTGGGTATTGGACCCTTCATACATGCTAGACAAGTGCTTTACCACCTTTTTCGTTTTTCTATTTAAAAAATTTATTTTGTATGTGTAGGTGTTTGTCCTGTGTGTATATGTGTGCTATGTATGTATGTGTGGTGGGCAGAAAAGGACATCATCTCCTAGAACTGGAGTACCTGCTTGTGAGCTACCATGTTACTTCTGGAAATAGAACACGGGTCCTCTGCTACAGCAGGCACTTCTCTTAATTGCTGAATCATCTTTCCAGCCCCTTTATGACAAGGTCTGGAGAGATGGCTCAGTGGTTAAGAGCCCTGGCTGTTCTTTAAGAGGACCTGGGTTCAATTCCCAGCACCCACATGGCAGCTTACAGTTGTCTATAACTCCAGTTCCAGGGGATCTGGCACCCTCACACAGACAGACACACATGCAGGCAAAACACCAATACTTCTAAATTTTTTTTTTTTTAAAAAAAGACAAGGTCTTATTAGCTCATATTCTCAGATTCATTATGTAGTACTTAATTATTTTATTGTTTTGTTTGTTTTAGTGTTTCTGTGTTTTAGTATGGATATATACATGTAAATTCAAGTGACTCTGGAGGCCAGAAGTGGGTGTGGTCAGATCCTTGGAAGCTATAAATAGACAGCTAAACAATGTGCCATTGAGGTGTTATTAGGATGAATGCAATTCAGAAAAGCACGTCACCATCTCAAAAAACCAAAATAAAGCCAGGCAGTGGTGGCACATGCCTTTAACATCAACACTCAGGATCTCTGTGAGTTCGAGGCCAGCCTTGTCTACAAGAACTAGTTCAAGGACAGGCTTCCTACAGAGAAACCTGGTCTCGAAAAACAAAAACACAAACCGAAAAAGCACAGCATGAAATGCTTCTTAGTTAAGGAACAGCCATGTATCATGGTGGAAATGAAAAAAATCAGTAACATTAACATTGTGAGTTTAGCCTTTAAAAGCTGAGCCATTCCTCCAGCCCAGCACTACCGTTTGGAAGACCACATTTTATTTTATTTTATTGGTTTTTTTTTTTTAATTATGATTTATTTTTATTTTATGTGCATTGGTGTGAAGGTGTCAGATCCCCTGGAACTGGATTTTCAGACAGTTGTGAGCTGCCAGGTGGGTGCTGGGAATTGAACCCGGGTCCTCTGGAAGAGCAGCAATGCTCTTAACCGCTGAGCCATTTCTTCAGCCCCTTATTTGTTGGTTTTTCGAGGCACTCTGTGTAACAGCTCTGGCTGTCATGGAACTCCTAGAGATCCACGTGCCTCTGTCTCCCAAGTGCTGGGATGTTAAAGGTGTGTGCCACTATCAGCCTTAATACAACTTTATATTTACTGACACAGCATGGAAATTGGAAATGTGATAGTGTGTGCCACTATCAGCCTTAATACAACTTTATATTTACTGACACAGCATGGAAATTGGAAATGTGTCCTTTGGCCTTATCATTCTTATTGTTCCACGTTTACTTCTTTGTTTTTGAGGAAAGGATTTACTATCTAGCTTTGGCTGGCACAGAACTCGGAGTGATCTCCCTCATGAGTGCTGTGAGTCTCCTGGCACACAATGCATGTTTTGCGTGCACACACCAAGAACAAATCCATGTTAAAAACGTTACCTGTGTTAGGACTGGAGGTGGCTCATCACTGCTCTTAAAAAGGACCTGGGCTTGTTTGTCCAGTACTGACAAGGCGGCTCACAACCATTTGTAACTAACTCCAGTTCTTGGGGACCTAACAGATTCTTCTGGCCTCCACAGGCACCAGGCGCATGAGTCCATACATATATACATACCTATAGGCAAAAATACGTAAAACAAAATGAAATTAATAGTGAAAATTCAACCATTAGGGTTTTGTTTAAACATGTGTCGAAGTATTCCAGTTACTTAGAATACAATATAGTAGTTTTTGTTTCTTTGGTTTTTTTGTTTTTTATTTTGTTTTGTTTTCTTTTTTGGATTTTCGAGACAGGGTTTCTCCATAGCTTTTGGTTCCTGTCCTGGAACTAGCTCTTGTAGACCAGGCTGGCCTCGAACTCACAGAGATCCGCCTCCCAAGTGCTGGGATTAAAAGCATGAAGACATGCTCCACCACTGCCTGGCTGTTTTTTGTGATTTTTTTTTTTTTAAGGAGTTTTAAAGAGTAAGACAAAGGACAAATAAAGTAAATTCAGTGCTTTTAAAAAACAGGACCGGCCCGGCGATGGTGGCGCACGCCTTTAACCCTAGCACTCTGGAGGCAGAGGCAGGCGGATCTCTGTGAGTTCGAGACCAGCCTGGTCTACAGAGCTAGTTCCAGGATAGGCTCCAAAGCCACAGAGAAACCCTGTCTCGAAAAACCAAAAAAAAAAAAAAAAAAAAAAAAAAAAAACAGGACAGACGGCCGAGAAATGTCATTTGTTCTTCTTCTTTTTTTTTTTTTTAATATTTATTTATTATGTATACAATATTCTGTGTGTATGCTTGCAGTCCAGAAGAGGGCACCAGACCCCATTACAGATGGTTGTGAGCCACCATGTGGTTGCTGGGAATTGAGCTCAGGACCTTTGGAAGAGCAGGCAATGCTCTTAACCACTGAGCCATCTCTCCAGCCCCCAGCCCCCTCTTCTTATTCTTTTATAATTGTCTTTTCGTTTAGCCCAGACATGGCCTAAAACTCCTGGTCATCTAACCTCAGCCTTTTAGAACACAGATTAGGGCACATGCTACCATAATGTGCCATGTTTTTTTATTTTGAGTCGTTGTTGGGGACATTCCCCTATTCCCAGCACTCCTAGGAGAAGAAGGCAGGTGGACCTCTGAATGAGTTTCTATGAACTCCTATACGTGCATAATGAGTTCCAGGCCAGCCAGAGGTACATGGTGAGATCCTGTCTCCATAAAAGAAAAATAAGTACAAATTCATCACCATAAACAAGAACAAAAAGATCTTTAAAAAGAATCATTGTAAGGGCCAGATGTGGTGGTTCACACCTTTAATCCCAGCAGAGGCAGGGTGAACTTTTGAGTTCAAGCTCTACCTAGTCTACATAGTACATTTCAAGAAAGCCAGGGCTACATAGTGACACTTTGTCTTGAGACAAAAGTAGAATCAGTGTGATCTGCAGATCATATCATTTCCTGTTGTGTTTTTCCAGTTTCGAGACGGTCGGATCTTTGGGCATTTGGAATTTTTTTCTTTTTTTTAAGATTTTCTTTCTTATTTTGTATATAGTGTTCTGCCTGAATGTCTGCCTGCATGCCAGAGGAGAAGAGGGCATCAGATCTCATTATAGATGGTTGTCAGCCTGTGAGCCACCATGTTGTTGCTGGGAATTGGACTCAGGATCTCTCGAAGAGCACCCAGTGCTCTTAATGTCTGAGCCATCTCTCCAGACCCTTATTTGGAACTTTTAAGTTGGTCTTTTAATATTATCATAGTAGTCTTTGGTAGCTAGCTCCTTTGATCTGATTTAACAGAATATTCCTGTTTTATCTGAGGGATTTCTCTCATTCTAGAGTCTGTTTTTTCTACCTGTAATGGGAGGTGGTATTTTAGCAATAAAATCAGAAGCTGTGGGTGATGATTTCTTCTAGATTAAGTTTGTGTCTCCTTTCTCCTATGCTTTGAAGTCCTGGTTCTTAGGCATTTTAAAGTCCTTTTTGGATTTTCATCACAAGGGTTTTTTTGTTGTTGTTGTTGTTTTTTGTTTTGTTTTGGTTTTTGTTTTTCGAGACAGGGTATCTCTGTAGCTTTGGTGCCTGTCCTGGAACTAGCTCTTGTAGACAAGGCTGGCCTTGAGCTCAGAGATCTGCCTGCCTCTGCCTCCCGAGTGCTGGGATTAAGTTCAGGACAAGGTTTTTCTGTGTAGCTCTGGCTGTCCTGGAACTCGCTTTCTAGACCATATTGACATGGGAGGCAGAGGCAGGCGGATGTCTGTGAGTTTGAAGCCAACCTGGTCTACAAGAGCAAGAGCTAGGCCAGGCGGTGGTGGCGCATGCCTTTAATCCCTGCACCTGGGAGGTAGAGGCAGGCGGATCTCTGTGAGTTCGAGGCCAGCCTGGTCTACAAGAGCTAGTTCCAGGACAGGAACCAAAATCTATGGAGAAACTGTCTTGAAAATTTAAAAAAAAAAAAAAAAAAAAAAAAAGAGCAAGAGCTAGTTCCTGGACAGGCACTAAAGCTACAGAAAAAACCTTGTCTCCAAAACAAAACAAAAAAACCAAAAAAATAAAAAACGGAAAGGAAAAAGAAAGAAATGGAAGTGTATTAAGTATTAATAGAAAAGAGGACTGTTGGGCTAGGCTGTGTTGTGCATACCTTTAATCACAGCAGTCAGAGACAGAGGCAGGCGGATCTCTTGTGAGTTCAAGGCCAGCCTGGTCTGTAAAGTGAATTCTAGAACAGCCAGGACTGTTATACAGAAACCCTGTCTCACAAAAAAAATAATAAAATAAAAAACAACAAAAAGAAAAAGACTGTATTGAGCAAAATGTTTTTTCTTCCTTTTAGGAAGTGCCACCTTCACTTCCTGACTTTGGCATCTTAAAAGTCTTGGAGAAGTCGGCTGTGTCAGTTCATCTGCTAGACATGTCCCCAGCATACAAATGCTTACACATCTGTAATGGCCTTGAGCACATGAAGGTGCCGTAGTGGTCAAATCAAATAGCATGTTACTGCTTATCCAGGTTCAAGCCGTTGGTCTTTTGAACCTTGTAGCTACATGTTTACATGGGTATGAGTAATACCTAGTATTTTTTGGAGGAAACATGTAATTGTGCAGGTATCAGTCTTCCCTTTTGTTCATGAAATTGCCCTGCTTTCTAGAGATAGTGGATAAACATGTTCCAAGTCTCTACCCTAGACACCCTGAAAATGTGATCTAAGGACTGGAGAGATGATTAAGAGGTTAAAAGCAATTGTTGCACTTGCAGAGGACCTGGGTTCAATTTCCAGTGCCTACGTGGTGGTTCACAGCCATCCGTAACTCAGTTTCCAGAGCATCAGATGCCCTCTTCTGACCTTTACAAGCACCAAGCTGTTCACACAATGCATATACATACATACAAGCAAAACACTCATATGCATAAAATAAAATTGATTATAAAGAAAATATGATCTAACCTTTCTTAAAGTAAACAGAGTTTGGGTCATAGCTTTATGGACTTCACTTTCCTTAAACACACGTTTTGCGCTAATCATCTTTGATGTGTGTGGAGGAATTAGGTCTCAACATTCATAGAACCTATGGTTCTTCAGAACAACACCAACAGTGACTACCTTGAAAGTTAAAGGGAAACAATTAGTTATTATGGTGTCCTGCCCCACAAATTTAATTGTGAACCAAGGGTCTGTGCTTTAACTAGTTCTAGAGTTTTTCTTTCTAGATTTTTGAGACACAGTTTCTCTGTGTAGCTTTGGAACTGGTCCTGGAACTCACTCTATAGGCCATGCTGGCTTTGAACAGAGATCCACCTGCCTCTGCCTCCCAAGTGCTGGGATTAAAGGTGTGAACCACTATTGCCTGGCCTAGCTCTGGAGTTTTTAACCATACCCTTTGGATATTTCCTCTGTTGATACTGTGTTCCTGTGTGGTCCTTGTCCCTTCTGGTCCTTGTGTTTGTGGACCTCTGTCGTGCAGTTGTTGCAGTGGTGCTCTGTTCCACCTAGGCTATGTTCTGCCCAGCCACGTGACTGAAGAGATGCTGTGGGAGTGCAAACAGCTTGGGGCACACTCCCCTTCCACACTGCTGACCACCCTCATGTTCTTTAATACCAAGTAAGTGTTTTAGAAACTGCCTTCTTAGCTGCTACTGGCATTTACCCAGTGTGGATGGTGGAGACGCCGGGAGGACTTCTGTATCCCCCTGGCACATTTCAGAAGTTTGAGCTAGTTTGGGTTCCATTTGGCTGCATTTTTGTATAGTGAGTGGTAAGATGCAGACCGCCTTGTGGGATCCCCCTCCAAATCCATTTTAATATGGCTCTTTTCTGGACAATGGCATAGACATGACCCTGCTCAGATTCTGGGAGTGGGGGATGGTTCATCTGAGTCATTAATGGACTTGAGGTAAGTCGTCATCCTTTTGGCATCCCTCTTTTTGCCTTGCTTGCCCTTGTTGTCCAGGTACTTCCTGTTGAAGACAGTAGATCAGCACATGAAGCTGGCTTTCTCCAAGGTCCTTCGACAGACAAAGAAGAACCCCTCAAACCCTAAGGATAAAAGCACGAGTATCCGCTATCTGAAGGCCCTTGGAATCCATCAGACTGGCCAGAAAGGTAGAGAAAGGAAACAGGAATGATAGCAACCATTAATGCTTATCCAGCCTGCCTTTGTCCTTATGGGGATGTGTGTAAGTTGAGGTTGTCTCGGTAGACATTGTCCATTTCCTTCTCCTTCACTAGAAACTGCAAACGTTTCTCATAGGCTCAGGGATACCCTGGAGAACAAAGCTTTTCTCTCTTCGTGTCCATGCTTCATCCTTTCCTCTCTCACCCAGTGTTTACTCATTGAGGTAGTTGAATGCTTAAAGTTACTGATCTAGGTTTACAGTTGTGCTAGGTCTGTCCTATATGTTTGTTTTTAGTTATTTGTATGTGCATGCATGTGTGTGTTTACACCCACACACATACATGTCCTTGCACAGGTACCACCTTGCAAGTGGTCAAAGGACAACTTGAAGGAATCAGTTTTCTCTTTCTGTTGAGTCTAGAAGGTTGAACTCATGTTTGTTTGTTTAATAGTTACAGATGACATGTATGCAGAACAGACAGAGAATCCAGAGAATCCATTGAGGTGTCCCATCAAGCTGTACGATTTCTACCTCTTCAAATGGTGAGGAGGCTTTATATACTAACCATACAAGTGAATGTGTGTGTTGTATGTTGATGATAAGATAGGCTTGAACTCCTGATTCACTTACCTACCTCAACACTGGAATTATAGGTGTGCACCAATAAATCTGACTTTCATATTTAGCTTTTGGAACTGATTTGCTCTCAGACTGGAACTACAAAATGCCTCCCCATGACAAGATGCACATACAGCATAAGCATACATTGGGGCTGGAGACGTGGTTCAGAGGTTAAGAGCAATGACTGCTTTTCAAGAGGTCCTGAGCTCAATTCCCAGCACCTACACGATGGCTCATAACCATCTCTAATGAGATTTGGTGCACTCTTCTGGCGTGCAGGCTTACATGCACACAGTTAGTGAAAGGAAGTGGTGGGTAGTGTTGCTCGGGATTAGTGTGCTTATCCTGTGTGCCCTGAACTGAATCCCAAGTCCTACTAAAGAAATTAATTTGTTTATTTTGAAACAGGGACTCTTTGTAACCCAGGCTGTCCTGGAATTCACTTAGTCTAGATTGGCCTCAAACTTGACCTCAACAGAATCTACCTTTCTCTGCCTCTTGTGCTGGGAGTAATGGTTGGTATATGCCATCATACCTGGCCCAAGAAGTAACTTGTTTGCTCTGCCAAAATGTGTGATATACACAGCACTGCTATAAAAGGGATCACTGAACTCGTGAGAGCTGAATCTTTGAAGACAGAGTCTCCCTATGTAGCTTTGGCTGTCCTGGAATTTAGAAAACCAGGCTGGCTTCCCACTCACAAGAAATGTGCCTGCTCTTGACCTAAGTTTTGGGATTAGATATGTGTACTGCAATGAAAGGCTCTGATTTTGACTTCATAGCCTAAACCAGGTGGCACGCACCTTTAATGCCATCACTCAGGAGGCAGAGGCCAGTGGCTCTCTGAGTTCAAGGTCAGCCTGGTCTATAGAGCAATTTTCAGGGCAGCCAGGAGTGTTTCAGAGAAACCCTGTCTCGAAAAACAAACAAACAAAAAAGTCTGTTTTTTAATGGCCATGGTCCTCTATCATTCTGCCTTAGATTTTGTTACTGCTTCTATCAACATAGTTGACAGCAACAAACATACATGTTCTGTCAGTTTTGGGTGTTTTTTTTTTTTTTTTGTTCCAGTATGGTATATCCTATCCTCTTCATATCAACGTGAGAAGGAGCTTTTGTGGTTGGGGTCTTTCTGTTTATATCACCTGCACTGCTTTCTCACTACTCTGCCAGTAGTCTTTATAGTTGAACAGAACCTCTGCTGGCTTATATCTGCTCGTTCTGACCCATAACCATACTTTGCATCCAAGGACACTAAGCTTTCTTGTCTCCACTGGACACAGCTCCTCCACCGAAGCATTTCCAAATCGCCTTTCTTTGCCTCCGACTAATTCCTCTGTAGCCCTCAACTGCTATCATTTTTTTTGCATGTATGTGTTTGTTAGTCAGGAATTATCTAGTAGTTGTTCTGCTCCCTTCTTTAACACTATACCTGACATAGACCTGGCACACATAACTCTTTATCACATGTGGAACAGATGGATGATGAATGTGAGGTGATGGGTTATACGAAGTCCTCAAGAAAGAGGTGCAGCACTGTAGGCTGTGGGGAGTGAGCCCAGACAATACATGTACTGGACAGCTAGAGCTAGCTCTTCTAGGTGAAGTCTGCTGCAGCTGGGATATAGATAGACTTATATATAAATTTAATTATATATAGATATATAAATATATGTAAGTATGTATAACTAGTTATATTTTTAGATTTCTATATAAATCTATCTTGGACACATTCTAAGGTGTAGTAAGCAAGTACACTGGGTGATTTATCATAGCTTGTTTATATAAACAAAATAGCAGCTTGTCACTGGCCTTTACAGTAACCCCAGTTGAGTTCCTGGCATGGTGTGTGGAATGCATACAACTCTGTGGCTGTGATACACCTTCAAGTCTGCTGCCTCAAGAGCTTTCATATAATGTGTGTTTGGGAGGCTTAAGCTGGAATAGTTAAAATTATGCTATTGCCCATCTTTTACTGAAATATTCTTTAGCCCCCAGAGTGTGAAAGGCCGAAATGACACCTTTTACCTGACACCTGAGCCGGTGGTGGCTCCCAACAGCCCAATTTGGTACTCAGTCCAGCCGATCAGCAGAGAGCAGATGGGACAGATGCTGACCCGCATCCTGGTTATACGAGAAATCCAAGAAGCCATTGCCGTGGCCAGCGCAACCACCATGCACTGAGGTGCCTCAGCCTCAGTAGACAAAAAAAGAAAAAATCCAGGAAAAACCAGACAAAGACTTTTACACTAAAGAAGAAGAGGCCTCCATTTTTTCTTTCTTTTTTTTTTTTCTTTTTTTTTTTTTTTTTCCCCCGGACCTAATTGTAGTTACGATGCTTTTCAGGCTACTTCTGTTAAAAATGTAAAAGGCAGCATTGTCCCTTTGAGTCTTCGTAGATGTGTGGGCAGACCCCTTGATTCGTGGGGCCTTGGGATTTTGAGAGCCAGATGTCCTAAGAAGTGGCTGGCTTTTATTCTTTCTCTTTTTTTTCTTTTGTCTGGGGCATAGGGAAAGGGTCTTGGACTGTTGGGACAAATATGGGCCCTTCCCTTTCACGAGGAAGATGGAGCTGCTGATGGATCAATCTCCTGGGGATCTCCGCCTGACTTCGCTTTGGACTGACTACATGGAGCCACAGTTTTTTCTTCATGCTCAGACATAAACTTAGCATCTTAATGAAAGAAAAATGAGAGGAAATTCAATTATGATTTTATTAAAGACAATTTCTATTACACCCTCCTTTATGACAAGTGACATAGATGTTAAAGTAAAAACTTTACCATGCCTTTTTTTTTTTCTTGGCCTAACATTGAGGCCTTAAACCTGAGGCTGCTGTGCCTGATGGAATTCTTGTAACATACACTTGTGTATCATATAAAGATACCACTCTTTCTCTTATGTATTCTTATTCTAGTTGTTTATTAAGAATGACAAGCACGTCTTTTCAACATGCTAGTGGATAATGTGTCTTTATTTGGGGGAGGAATTTTTTTGGGAAAATAGAAACAAAACTTAATTGGAATGGGCGCAGATCCAGTGAGGGAAGGAGGGGGACTGCGCTGGGAGGGACGGGACAAGAAACAGCCCTCCGATAAAAGCCCCTATGAATGCAATGAGCATGCGTCTGCTCCTCTCTGCTATCTCCGCCTCCTTGCTGGGCGTGACAACAGTGCGCACGCTCTACGCCCTGGCGTACGCGACGCACGCTGCGTAATGACGAAATCGTCTGGTTTATATTGGCGCGGAGCAGACAGTGGAGGCCTCTGCGGCGCGGTCCTCGGAGGTGCTCTTTGGTGTCTCTTGCTTGTCATGGCGGACTACCTGATTAGCGGCGGCACGTCTTACGTGCCAGACGACGGACTCACCGCGCAGCAGCTCTTCAACTGCGGGGATGGCCTCACCTACAAGTGCGGGGCTAGGGCACCCACATGGGCGAGGCGAGGGGCCGGATGGGGGTTTCGTTAAAGGTCTGGGAGCGGACACGGGGAAGAGGTTCTGGGAATTACGAATCTCCGGAGAATAACTTTGACAGGACTGGGTTGGAAAGGGTCGTTTCTACAGTACTTAGGACTTAAGTCTCGAGACTCTGTTCTCCGGACACATGGAATTGTCAGTGTGCAGGAGCACTAATGACAGCTAAGTCAGTGACAGAAAACTCCCTGTCCCTAATCCACCCATGCCATCTTGCCTGTGGCACACGGGGTCGATACAACTCCCTGCTCAGAGCTTTATGGGATAGAGTTGGATTCTCTTGGTGTAGCCTGAGAGTCCTGCCTAATTCCCTCTACAGCGATTTTCTCATTCTTCCTGGGTATATCGACTTCACTGCGGACGAAGTGGTGAGTAAGACTGGGTTTTTCTATTTTGTTTTTGAGATCATCTCCCAATATAACTTTGGCTGGTCTAAAACTAGGTAGGTTACCCAGGCTGACCCCGAACTAGTGTCGACTAGTTCTGAGGGAATGCTGAGATTACAGTAAGCATGTGCTACTATGCCCATTCTAGGAATTGGGTTGTGAACATCAAGGAGGGAGGATGGTGCAGTTGGTTGATTGGTTGTTTATTTTTTTTGTTTTGTTTTGGTGTTTTCAAGATAGAGTTTCTCTGTGTAGCCCTGGATGTCCTAGAACTCTTTGTAGATCAGGTTGGCCTCAAACTCAGAGATCCGCCTCCCGAGTGCTGGGATTAAAGGCATCATCACGTCCAGCTGGTGATGTGGTTTGCTAATGTGAGCTACACCAGAATGGGCTTTGAGGAGTGAGGTAGAGTAAATGGGAACGGTCTTTCTGGTGAGCACTCAGGTTGCCAGGGCCGTTTTATGGACCCTGAGAAATAAGCGGTGTTTATCTCTAGTGGTTCTTTATCTCCTCAGGATTTGACCTCCGCTCTAACTAAGACAATCACACTGAAGACCCCATTGGTTTCCTCACCTATGGACACTGTCACAGAGGCTGGAATGGCCATCGCAATGGCGGTGAGCCTGGAGGGTCATGGGAGGACAAGGCAGGGTGCCATCTCTGCCAAATCTTGTGCCTCTTATTCATCGCCTACTTGTGTGTTCATCTTGTAGCTTACAGGAGGCATTGGTTTCATCCACCACAACTGTACACCCGAATTCCAGGCCAATGAAGTCAGAAAAGTGAAGGTCAGAAGGGCAAGGATTGTGGCCAGGTTCTCCTGGGAATTGCACAGAGGTGGAGTGGGGTGGGAGTGGAGGGTTTGTTCTGCCAACTGAGGGTCCTTTCTTCCAACTGTGGGGTTCAATTACTGAGGAGAAAGACCGAAGACCCCATTACTTGAGCTAGTGCACAGTGCATCCAGCCCAACCATGTCCTCATTAGAGGGATTGGTTTGGTTCTGTGGTACTGCCATAAAGGACAGATAGCCATGGACCTTATGGTTTACACCAGGAGGCAATGAAAGTGATTTCAAAGATGCAATGACCTCACCATCTCTTCCAGAAATATGAACAGGGATTCATCACTGATCCTGTAGTCCTTAGCCCCAAGGATCGTGTGCGGGATGTTTTTGAGGCCAAAGCCAGGCATGGCTTCTGTGGTATCCCCATCACGGATACAGGCCGGATGGGGAGTCGATTGGTGGGCATCATTTCCTCAAGGGATATTGATTTTCTCAAGGAGGAAGAGCATGACCGTTTCTTGGAAGAGGTGGGTGCCAATAGCATAAAACAACCAATGTTTAACAACCCAGGCTGAAGGAAGGCAGTTTCTTTTGACTTTGTGAATTACTGATGGCCTCATTTTCTGACCGCGAAAAACACCTGGCCATGCTTTCTAACTTTTTCATGAGGTTTTTGCATCCCTTCTCCCTGTGTCTCTGGTGACAGTGTCTGCTAGAATTCATGCTTTTTGTTTTGTTTTTCGAGACAGGGTTTCTCTGTGGTTTTGGAGCCTGTCCTGGAACTAGCTCTTGTAGACCAGGCTGGTCTCGAACTCACAGAGATCCGCCTGCCTCTGCCTCCCAAGTGCTGGGATTAAAGGCGTGCGCCACCACCGCCCGGCTAGAATTCATGCTTTTTATCCCACAAAAAAGTTAGTTCTTGAGTATCTTTCTGGTTTTCTTTGCTCTTGTGTGGTTTTTCCTTCTCCATGAGAGGCTGCTTCCTGTATTGTGTTCTTACTCAAGCAACACTAATTTCAATGGTGTAATGGTTACTGAGTGCCCATCAGGAGGGGCAGGATGCGATTATGGTGGTCCTTTGATAGTATGGTCTAAGGGAAAGGGAGGGTCCTGGTCTGACTGTCTGTCCTCATGACTCCTCTAGATCATGACAAAGAGGGAAGATTTGGTGGTAGCCCCTGCAGGCATCACTCTGAAGGAGGCAAATGAAATCCTGCAGCGCAGTAAAAAGGGTGAGTCCTGCTGGGCGCTGGGGGCTTGGTCTACAGAGAGGAACCCTTTCATGGGGGGGGGGCTGAAAATGGAAAGGGGCACAGAAATAATCAGGGTCCTGTCTTGTCATCAGGAAAATTGCCCATTGTGAATGAAAATGATGAGCTGGTAGCCATCATTGCCCGGACAGACCTGAAGAAAAACCGTGATTACCCGCTTGCTTCCAAAGATGCCAAAAAGCAGCTTCTATGTGGGGCAGCCATTGGCACTCATGAGGATGACAAGTATAGGCTGGACTTACTGGCCCTCGCTGGTGTGGATGTCGTGGTTTTGGTAAGCTACAACGTAAGTAGGGTGGGCCTGGAGGGCCGATTGCTATATCATGGTGGAGCTAGAACTTCTTCTTCTCCTAGGATTCTTCCCAGGGAAATTCCATTTTCCAAATCAATATGATCAAATACATCAAGGAGAAATACCCCAATCTCCAAGTCATTGGAGGCAATGGTAAGAAAAGATGGCCCTGGTGGATAAGGGGTTCTTTTTGCGCTCCCTCCCCACCTGGACCTCATCATCCTTCTATTTCCCTGTAGTAGTCACTGCTGCTCAAGCCAAGAACCTCATAGATGCGGGTGTGGATGCTCTGCGAGTTGGCATGGGATGTGGTTCCATCTGCATTACCCAGGAAGGTAATAATATGCTTTGACTGGGGCCAGCTGCTCTTAGGGGAACTACACTTGAGTCCTCCAACGTGGGCAACTCTAGGGCCATACAGGCCTCTTGGATGGGTGACATGGCTGGAAGCAAGACAAGTTCTTGTCGTCCCTCACCTGCCACTCCTTGCCTAGCCTGGCCTCCTTGCTCCTGCTCTGTGCCCTCTCTAAACTCTGGTCTGTTTGTTTTATTTAGCGGCTCCCAAGATCCCACCAGACATAAAGTCCCACAGCCCCAAATGCCCTTCTACTGTCAAGGGCTGCTATAGTAAGTCCGGCCTGGCGCACTGGCCCGGCCCAGCTGCCCACTGCCCGACTGCTTGGTTGACTGTAGCTGTAGCTCCCAGGGTTTGTGGTGCTGTTGGGGGGCAGGGCAAACAGATGTACAGACCATGGTTTGGGGGCTGCTTGAGATCACAGCTTCTTCTAGGGCACTCATAGAGCAGGACCTCCTTCCCAAGGCAGGCCCTGCTCTGCCCATGTTTTCTGCAGTAGGCATGGCTCAATCAGTTCTTGAGCCTGCTCTCTTCGACGTTACCACTGCCCTCATCTTGCCTGAACTGCCCACTGTGCAGGAAGGGCTAGACCTGACTTTGTGCCTCTGGATACTAACTGCACGGTTACTCTTTCCCTATCTGATACCAGCTGGGCGGGGCTTCCCAGCTGCTGTGATCTGCATGTGCCTGAGGCTGCATTGGGCCCTTAGCCCTGCACACACGCACGCGCACACTCAGAAAGCCAGCGTAACTGTACTATTGAAGGCAGATGAGTAGCAGCCATCCCACACACATCTCTGTCAGCTATTGACTTGGTATAGGCATCTTTCGGAGCTCCGGGTCCTGTGAATGGCCCCTTGTATACCACCCCAGTATCACACATCCTTCTGTTCCTCCATCTCTCAACAGTGTTGGCCTGTGGGCGGCCCCAAGCAACAGCTGTCTACAAGGTTTCTGAGTATGCTCGGCGCTTTGGTGTTCCTGTTATTGCTGATGGAGGGATCCAAAATGTGGGTCATATTGCCAAAGCTTTGGCTCTTGGGGCATCTACAGGTAAGGCTTAGTCACCTTTGGACTGGGTGGTACCCCCTTTTCTGTACTGATCAGATTCTTCCCTAGCTTACTTATTTGTTCCCAGTCATGATGGGCTCCCTCTTGGCTGCTACCACTGAGGCCCCTGGTGAGTACTTCTTCTCAGATGGGATCCGGCTGAAAAAGTACCGTGGTATGGGTTCCCTTGATGCCATGGACAAGCATCTCAGCAGCCAGAACCGCTATTTCAGGTAGGACAGGAAAACGACACCCAGCAAACCCTGTATTTCGTTTCATCCCTGTGGCAACATTGCCCATTTCTTTGCCTGTTCCAACAGTGAAGCTGACAAAATCAAAGTGGCCCAAGGAGTTTCAGGAGCTGTGCAGGACAAAGGGTCTATCCACAAGTTCGTCCCTTACTTGATTGCTGGCATCCAGCATTCCTGTCAGGACATTGGTGCCAGGCGGTTAACCCAAGTCCGGTGAGCGTGGGTAGTTGGGGCGTGACTAGAGGGAGTGGTACAGGCAGCTACTGTCTGCATCTAATCCCTGCCTTTCCACAGAGCCATGATGTACTCTGGGGAACTGAAGTTTGAAAAGAGAACATCCTCAGCTCAGGTGGAAGGTGGTGTCCACAGCCTTCATTCGTAAGTGCCCTGTGCTTGGGTGGGCGTTTCTGCCAGCCTCAGACCCTCCTCCTTCCTGCTCTGCTCACAGGTGGTCTCTGCCTACAGGTATGAGAAGCGGCTTTTCTGAAGAGATCCAGTATATGCCTTGAATTTTTCAATAAAAGTTTTGAAAGAAAAAAGTGACAGTTGATCTTTGAGTTCAATAGGCACATGGAAATTTGTAGCCACCATCACAGATGTTATGTGTGGCAGAGCATTGGGTTCATGAAAGAAACTTACTGTTGGAAGCTAGTTAGTTCTAGCTCGAAAGTCAGGAAAGCTATTGTGTTCTCCTTGAATCTGCACATGAGCAAGTAGGGAACCCCGGGAGGCAGGGAGGACATGGAATCCTACACTGGCTGAAGACAATTAACCCTTACATTTCCAAACCCCCAGTCAGCAGACACACCCCGCAACACGACTGATATTTGTAGTAGAAGTAGAAGTTATTCTGGGTAAGCATGACAAGTGGTGAAAGTGCCCACAGGCAGAGGGTTGGGAAAGCACTGGGCATCCCTGCACCCTGCAAAGTGCCAGTGCCCTCCTTGACTCTTCTGAGGTTTCATTCTGCGGCTTGACCCAAAGAGGGGAGTATAGTCTCTCCAGGAGGGGGAATGAGGGCAGCTCCTGTCACTCGGCCTTCATGACACAGGAAGTTGAAAGTGGCACAAGCATTGGGCTGCAATGAAAACAGCAGAATTAGCATGGATGGGATAAGTAAGCCTGGGCTGGGCTGGATTTCCACGTCTGAAGACCTACCGTATCCTGCACCTCCAAAGCGATGCCCCGCTGCCTCATGGCCTGTAGTACTTGGGGATGCAGCCGCTCAGTCCTGTTTCCAGTGCCCACCACAACAATCTCTAAGAAAGGGGAGACAACCATGTGTTGAGGGTCTGAAGTAGGCCACTTAGGACACTGCCCTACTCACGCCCATACCTATTCTAGGCTCCAGCATCCAGAAAAGGGAGAAGCTCTCTTCAGTGATATCCTGATGGGACCCCACCTGTATGGGAGAAGAGGCCATTCAACATGTCAAGTCGACACAGCCTTTACCCACAGCGATACTAAATAAAGTTAAATTTTCTAGGAGGGCACGGCTTCTGGCTCTAGGCTTCAATTCCACTGCAGGATGGCGCTCACATTCCACTGGACCACCGTCTGTGGGAGCAACGCGCAGGGGCCAAACACGCGGTTTCCGTTGATCGTGAAACCTCTGCTGTTGTAGCTGTCTATGTACACGGCCTGAGGGAACTCGTTTTGCAGCAGCGAGATGCGCGTCCGCTGGTACAGCTCATCATCCGCGGGAGAGAGCCGGTGGCCACGTCGCGGGGTCGTCCTGCGAAGGACTAAAGTCAGAGGCTCGTGGCTAGGCCGGACTACTCTGGGGGACGGAAAGTTCTGTGGTTCGGTGGTCAGGGGCGGGGCAGGGGGGCTCACCACAGCGGATAGACGAGGCGACAGAGCCGCGCAGGCTGCGCTCTGTACAGGCAGCGAAAGGCAAGAGCCGCGGCCATGGCTGCACGGCGCGTAGTAACCGGGTCGCAGGAGGGATGGGATCGAAACGCTGTGAGGCTCAGCGCGGCCACAGCGCCCCTTGCGTCCCGGAGGGCACTGCGCAACTTGGCCCGCGCAGTGGGCACCGACATCTGTCTCAGCCGACTCGGTCCCCCGTGCGGTTCTTGTGCCAACACCTGTTGCCCACCCCGCCGCAGGCAGGCCTGCACCGACTGTCCCTAAGGAGTGGGGGACACCTGCTGGCACGGGTGCCCTCGGGGTATTGTTTAGGCCACAGCTGCGGCCTGCTCCTCGGGTTCTCAGCCATTATCCCGGGCTCCCGGGGCCCGGGGCGGGGCAGCCGCGCACCTGGCCCTGCTATGAACACCTGGTCAGGGTGTGGTGCCAGCGTCCGGGGCCCTAATCCCAGGCTTTGGAGACTCGGGCTCCGTGGGCGGGGCGGGTGGCTAAGGTTTCCCCAGCGAGGCTCGAAATCGCTGCCCGCCCCAACCGTCACCCACCCGCGCGACCGTTGGCGGCGGCGCGGCGCTCCAGGAGAGGCGTGGCCGGGCGTGGATTGGCTTCGCGGGAGCGCGAGGGGGTGTGGCCAGAGGGCTTCTCCTTAAAATGGCTCCAAGTCTGCCGACTGCTAGAGCCAGCGGAAGGGCACGCCATAGGAGTGCTGGAGTAGCTGTTCGGGTGGGACTCACTGGGCCGAGCCGGACCAGACGTCAAGTAGACAGCGCCTGGAGCAGCACCCTGCCCTCGCGCGCTTCGCGTGCGCGTATCGAGTCTCCCTACCCCTGTCCTGAGCCGAGTCTAGGGCCTACTGGGCAAGCTGGCGGCGCGCGGCTTGGGCATCTCTGCGCACTGGTTCTGTCCTGGCCTCAGGGGAACTTGGTTGCGTTTTCTATCCGCTGGACAAGACGGGTGGGATGCTCGACACCATCGGGGCTTGGCTATGGGGTTCTTGCAGGGCCGGTTGCAATGGGTTCTGGAGAGGCTGTCCTGCCGCTGCTATGTGGGCCGGTTTGGCCCCTGGCACTTCATGAGCTGGCAGTGTCGCCGGACAAAGAGCCCCGAGCCTTGGGGTGTCCCACAAGTGGACGCGTGGGTTTACTTCCTCTCGGGTCCCACGGGATGGCTTCCCTCTTGGCGAATTCCGAAGCCCGCTCCGTCACCGTACCAGTGGCTGCGGCTGTTTGGGACTCATAGAGCTAATCCTCCCCTTCTGATCTAATCCGGATTGGGACCTGGTCCCTGGGGAGGCCCCCACCTTCTATTGTTCTGGGGCCCAGGTGAGCGCCTTATTCTCACTAGACTGGATTACAACACCTACTTGTCTGCCCAACTGGAAAGGGATGGGCGGGTTCCGGTTTGGCCCCAGGGCGAGTGACCTGGGGGCAGGAGTCGTCCTCCAACGGCTGGACAGCGGGCAACGGAATCCCAAAAGCAGCTGTTGTCTCCAGAGCATTCCAGCTGCGCTTGGATTTCGTTCCCTGCTCTCCTGCCTGAGCAGCGCCCTGGCCCAGATGAGGCGGTCTCTACCCTCAGAAATACTGCTGGGCCATTCTGATCTCCATCTCTCAGGTGCACCCTCAGGCTGATGGTGGCAGGCAGAGACGACGAAAAGTGCTCAGGCTGATGGCCAGCTCTGGAATCCCCGGAGAACACTAACGGGAGGTCCTGGGTCCTCTCTGTAGGGCCGCAATGGCGGTGAGTCCCACAGGGCCGCCCAGCCCGCAGCTCGCTATAGATGGCTCTTCACTTCCTGGGGAAAAACCACCCCAACCGTCTTCATGGAGGGAGAGAGCTTAAATCACCAACTGCCGGTGGGTCCCAGCCCACCGGCCAGCAGCTGTACCCACAGCATAAGGAAAGTGCTTTGGAATGACACGATCACTCCCGTTGAGTGGGCACCCAAGAAGCCATCGGGAATGTCGTGTCCGCCCAGTGCTCTTTCGGCACCTCCCAAACAGGGCCTCAGAGCCCTGGCCCCGAGAGAGGAGCCTTGCTAAACTTTTCTTATCCCTAGAGTTCACTCTTCTCCGGAGCAAAGTTCACTAGTTGGATTCATTCATTACTGGGGGAAGTGGGAGATTTAAGTTACATTGAAATGAAAGCGTCTGGACAGGAAAGCTTTCCCACAGTATGCTGATTCCTTGGGTCTTCTCATGATCACGTTTAATTGTCTCAAACTGACCAGTTATCTAAAGAACAATCAAAGGTGCCGGTAACAACAGGTTAAAGGAAAAACATTAAAGGCTGGTAATTCTGGAAATTATGATGACTTAATTCCTCAAGTATCAAGAGGTGCAATTCTATCAGGTTGTTCTTTTATTGGGAATAAAGACACACCATACCAATGAGGAAAGGCGTGCAAATGATCGGAAAGAATTCAAGTTTTTTTTTTTCTTTGCTTTTCAAGTAGGCAGTAAAGTGTCTTTAATGGAAGATGGGAGTGGTAGTGCACAGCATTAATCCCAGCACTCGGGAGACGGATGCAGGTGGATCCCAGTGAGTTTGATCCCAGCCTGGTCTATCTACAAAGCTAGTTCCAGGACAGCCAAGGCTGTTACACAGGGAAACCCTGTCTCGAAAAACCAAATAAATAGTGTCTTTAATGATACAGCCTTACTCCACTGACAATTTGTCTGACATTTAAATCTTGTTTAAATGGGGCAAAAATTGAAACATCACATAAGCACAAAGATATGAAGTTTTGACCAAATGTCTCGCCTGGTGACAAAGACCCACCACCAAATTAATAAATAATTAAGGATGACGATGAAAAAAAAAACCCTAGGCGCAAAAATGACCCCGAGATTTTGGGTGTAGGGCTCACGAATGCAGGAACGGCCGTCGGAGGAACACTGGAAGCGGTGGGTTGAATGTAGGCTTACTCGGCACGCTCCAACACTCTAGTCCACTCAGGAGGGTCCACTGCCGGATCCCCGCCCCAGCCAAGCGAACCTCCCGGAAGCTCTACGGCTAATTTACTTCCTGTTCCTCTCACTCTTCCGGTCGCCATGGCGACAGGGCGCCTTGGCGTGGGGGAGACACTGGAGGCCCTTAACGCCGCAGTGGGCCCTGGTAGCCCGGTGTGGTTCAAAGAAACGCACTCCCGGCACTTGCGTGTCCGCGACTTCTTGGCGCCGCGAAGCGCGCTACAGGCGCGCTTCGGGGACGGGCAGGTGGGTGCGAGCTGGTCAGGGATCTACAGCCCGTTCCAGGCCAACTAGGGTCCACTCACACGCCCATCTGCCCGCAGGTGCCAGAGTGCGTGTTCCGTGCGGTCGCCGGCCTGCAGGGTCCAGGGGTGGCCCCTGTATTGCGCTGCGCGTCAACACCCGCGGGTTTATCGCTCCAGCTACAGCGGCCCGCGGTCTTCGAGCGTGTACTCGGTGCCCTGGCTTCCTATACTACTCCCGCCAAACCTGCCTCGCCGGGCCCGCGGATTATTCTGCATTGTCCCGCATTGCGCGGCAACCCGGGCACACTCCGCCTGAGCCAGCTGCGTGCTGTGCTCGTGGCCGACCACCTAGCTCGGACGCTACGTGCTCATGGGTAAGCGCGCGTGTTCCAGTCTGCAGTGGCACAAGACTGACCCTTTGGGGACAGACGCGGAAGGTGGGAAGTCATGGTGATGTGGACCTGGTTCGCAGGCTGAGACAGCCACCTTTGCTTTGTAGGGTATGTGTGTGTCCAGTGCCCTCGGTGCGGGACTCGCACATGGCAACTTTCCTGCAGAAACTTCTGGTGGACTGGCCCACTACCTCGAAGTGCGCCTCAACCGAAACCTTGAGGACCTGTGTATTTGCAGAACTTAATTCTAAAGAGACAGTGCCCCCTGGAGTCCTAGGCCGACTGTGTCTGAAGGAACTTGTAGAAAAGAGACGTTCAGCTGGCTATGACCCCAGCATAGACAACTGTTTGGGTAGGACAGTGGCCAAAACATGGGTGGGGGACCTCTGCACTGCCAAGCACTTTAGTGCCTCTCTTGTTTTCTGTAGTGACTGAGGATCTGCTCTCTGTGCTGTCTGAGCTGCAGGAGGCTGTGTGCCATTGGCCAGAGGGCGGCCACCCAGGCCTGGTTAGTGGCTCCAGTCTTGACCTCTGCCCAAACTAGTTTTCTGCATCTTTATAATAACTCTCCTGTCTCTCTCTCTACGCAGGCTGGAGATCCAGACGCTGGTGTGGATGGCTGCATGGTTGTGCACGTGGTGAGCTGTGAGGAGGCGGTGCAGCAACAAAAGTTGGATCTGCTTTGGCAAAAGTTGGATGACCAGGCTCCTCTCAAACAGGTTGGTTTTCAAAAGAAAACCACCTTGAAGGTTTTTGAAGGCCCTTGAAAACCCAAAGGGCCTGTAGAGCACAGGTTCAGGCTGAAGTGAGGGCCAACGAAGTTGGACTGGGTCTTGAGGAGGTACTGAGACTGGTGGTTACAGACTGGGGAGTAACCAATGTAGGCTCCCTGGAGGCTGCAGGGAGGCCACCTGGACTGAGCCCTTTGGCATTCTCTCACAGAAGCACCTGGTCTGTGGCCCAGTGAAAGTAGCTGGTGTACCTGGCACCCTGATGACTGCCCCTGAGTACTACCAGTGAGTGAGTTGGCAGGCAGACCAGCCAAAGCCGGGGCAGCTGAGATGTGGGGAAGGGCTTCCACTGGGACTTTGCTCACTGGCTTTCTTTCCTAGGCTCAGATACGCTCAGGTGTGTAAGGCCTCAGCACTGAAGCATGGTGGGAACCTGGCACAAGGTATACCTGGGAGACCCTGCTTGTGCCCTGAAGAACCGGCAGGTCATTTAAACCTCTAGTCCTTGTTCCTTGTCTGTAGGCACTGACCAGCCTGTATCTCTCACCCCCAGATCCAGCCTGGACCAAGACCTTTGATGTCCTCTCTGTGGCCACCATCAAATTTGAGATGCTAAGCACAGCTCCACAGAACCAAGTAAGCCTGGGTATGTCACAGTACTAAGCCCGAGGAGGACGGTGTAGTGCCCATGCCCTCTACAGCTGGATTCATCCCCTAGCTCCTGCTGGCCAACAGCACCACCTCCACGAAGGGCACAAAGGGCGGCACTTTTGTCATGTACAACTGCGCCCGCCTCGCCACACTCTTCGAGGGTTACAAGCATGGGGTGGAGCGAGGTCTGTATCCCACCTTTCCACTTGTGAGCAGCCTGGATTTCTCACTCCTCCATGACGAGGTGAGTGCTCCTCCTGAGAAATGGCCACAAGCAGAGGGCTTGGTCTTAGCACCCTTGTCTCCCACAGGGTGAGTGGCTGCTGCTTTTCAACAGTGTCCTTCCCTTCCTGGACCTGCTGAGACAGACTGGGCACCTGGCCAGCACCCCAGGGCTGCACAGCCCTGTACGCACAGAGACGGTGAGGCACAGACACTACACACTAGTCTTTATTCTGGGTTGTGACACAAGAACAAGACAACAGCTCAGTGATTCAACCTCTATCTCTAGGTGTG